GGCTCATAATATCTTAGCGAGAAGCTCTACAAAGTATCTGCATTAATATTTGGAAATAATACAAAATTTGGACTCTAGTCTAATGTTTTGAAATTTCTACAGGTTCCTTTAAGATCCTTTTCGAAAATCGGTTTTTCAAAAAAAATCCAAGATGATGTTTTATCAAAGGAAGATGCAGCGAAATTTTCTGTATGAAGATATGTAAGACTTTCTCAAAAAAAAAGGTCAAATTTTAAGAGACTTTCAGAAGAAGTTTGGATCGTACTAGCGTGTTTTCTTAGAAATTTGCGTGGTTTTTTAAAAATTTTTCAATTTTTAGAATACTGCTCTTTTATTTGCATCAGCTTCAAATAAACATTCTTATGTAATTTAACCACAACAGACAACACTAGTTTATAGAATCTATTACATGGTGTTAAAAATTCAACTTAAAAAGATTAATAATATAGCATTCTGATAGGTTTTTTCTTTTGGATTTGAATAAAAATCTATGTTTTAATTTATTTACTAATATTCTCAGAACATCATTTTCAATCAGAAAAATTGAACCTCCTTCAATTCGGTTCAAGTTATAACCAGTATTTCTTTTCTTTTTTAAAGGTTTAAATGAGAGTAAACTTTTGTCCGACCAGCCTTTTCATGATTGATTTCTATTTAGAGAAAAACGAGATGTAGTATCGTGAAGTGACATTGTTTTAGTTTATTTTAACACTATGTTTACTAAAATGATCATAAAAACTGAATGAAAACGAATTTGAAAATTCTGTTCGAAAAAAAACCTGTGCGCAGGTCTTGACTTTAGTTTGAAACTACATCGAGTTCTGTATCTCTTATAGCGATGAAGTTATAGAGATTCTCCTGAAGACTATGAATGGAATATAAGTCAGAAGTTCCCTCTAGTTTGACCTATTAGACGAAAATATTTACAGCAGTATTTCTCACTAGGAGGGAACTCATTCTAGAAAATTTCAGCCCAAATAGACCATTCTAAGTGCACAATCTATTGCAGAGAAGGAGGGGAAAGGAAAATGTTAAAGGGTGAGCCAAAAGTCTTGGTACTTCATAGAAAAAATTCCATTTTCTCCCTTATAACAAATAAGACAACGCTCAAAATTGGACAGATAGTCAACGCGTCGTAGGTAATTATCATCCTCAATTTTCATAACTATAGCTCAAGTTATAGCGATGATACATAACTTCGAACTTAAAGAAGATTTTTTTCATATGACGCGATAAAATCTGAACACGGAAGATCTCCATGAGAAAAAAGGAAAAAAAGAAAAAGAAGACATCAATATGAAGAAAATCCAAGAGTAAAGCTGAATAGAATCACATCGAAGGAGTAACTCGATGTCTATAGTATATTCATTTAAATGTATTTATTCTGATTGGCTGTGTCGAAATGTATGACCGTCTTCCATGATACGTCCCGAATGATTTTCGACGGCTTTTCTACTCAAATTTTTTGCCATATCTTAATTTTTTCTGCAATTTTACTGAGTATCAACGTCCCGAAAATATGAGAATCTTAGAAAACAAATTTTGATTTTATACGATTTACACAAAAGATGGTCGTCTAGTGATACTGCTGATGAACTACAATACAGTGATTATCCGCCACTTCAAACAGGATATGCACTTGTCTGTTATATAAACTATAAAATTAAAAGAGGCACAGGAAATCCTAGAAGAAGATCTGGAAAACCCAGAACAATAAGAACAGCACAATTTTTATCTTTAGTTAAATCTAATGTTGAGAATAAACGAAGAAAATCTATCCAAAAAAAGAAATAAATTATTGAAAGAAAAAGGACTCAAATCTTCCTATGGTAGTGTTCGAAGAGCATTGAATGATGATATTAAAATAAGGCCATGGTGACTAGCAAGATCACAAAAATTAGTCCTGTATAACGACAGAGAAGAATAAAAAGTGTAAAACAATTATTGAAAAGATTCGGCATGAGTTCAATAAGATAATATTCTAAATGGAAACGTCTAATTAACATTGAGTTTAGTGGACGAATAAATTCGATACAAAAACATAATAAAAATGATGTATTTTGGTTCACGAGTAAAGCCACAGTGCCTCTTGAATTACAAATTATTAGTCAAAGAAAATATAGTCCCGATGGTATTTTATTTGGTGGTATTTCTTCACGTGGTTTAATTCCAACTAGTTCACCAATTTTCATCGACGAATGGTTAAAATTCGAATGTAACAAGATAAACACAGAACGACTTTCTATGGAGATAGATTTTTATATATCAAATTAATAGAACAACAATTTAAACCCCATATCGATAGATTATATGATCATATTGATATTATTTGGCAAAATGATACTGACTCCAAACACCATTCTTGATATGCCTTGGACAAAATCAATGAAATTTTTTTGTGAACGTATTGAACTCGAAGAACAAGCCAGCAAAATGGTTGATGTATGACCTATTGAGAATGTCTGGAGTTATATCAAAGAGAAATTAGAGGAGGAAGAATTTGAAAATATGACAACATTAAAAAAAAACAAATTGTGACAATTTGGAACACCATCACTCCAAATATGTGCTCAAAATGGATAAGTTCTATACCAAGAAGATTAGAATCTTTAATAATAAAAAAAAACAAGGTTATTCAATCAACAAGAAGGACTATAAAATCGCGTGAAAATGTAAATTATTATATCGTTCGCTATTGTATTTATGATAAAAATCAGTTATTCTAGAGGTTTCTTGAGCTAAAACGTGACTACATCGTGCGAAAAAAAATCTTCTTTAAGTTCGAAGTTATGTATCGTCGCTATAACTTGAGCTATAGTTATGAAAATTGTGGAATTTTTCTATGAAGTACCAAGACTTTTGGCTCACTCTTTATATTTAAAAACTCATTCATTGAGCATGTTATACAAACAAAGACAATAGATTCAATGACTAAAAGGTATCTTTTTTTTAAGTACTCAAAACTTTGATGAAAAGTTACCATAAACAAATACTAATACAAACCTTATACATATTTTTCTTTCGATCAACAATTTTCATTGTCTTATGTAGTGTCCATTGACCAATATCACCTGTATGTAACCATCCTTCTTCATCAATTGCTTCACATGTTTTAGCTTCATCTTTCAAATAACCTTTAAATAAAGTTGGACTTCGAAAACATATTTCTCCAATACCATCTTTAGCATAATATTCTTTTTCAGGTACATCAACTAATTTAACATAACTCATTGATACTGGAATACCTATTTCACCTGATTTCGTATCATTTATTGTTTGTGAAAAAATTATTACACATTCTGTTTGTCCGTAACATTCAATAAATGGACATGAAAATGCAGCACGTGAAAATCGACAAACATCAGGTGAAAGTGGTGCACCTGTTACAACAACACGATTTATTTTACCACCAAATGATTGACGAATTTTGTCAAAAATAAGTTTATCCCATATTGTATTTTGTGACAAATTTTCACGTCGTATAAGTGCTAATTTACCTTGAACACTCAATCGAAATAAAACACGACCAAGTATACCTTTTCTACGAAGTTCTAATCGAACTTTATCATATAATTTATTAAGTAAACGAGGTACCATCGTAAGAAGTGTTGGTCGAAAATCATGAAAATCATCAATCAATTTATCGATTTTACCTTGCCAAAAACCAATTTCTCCACCTAGAAAATTTAGAGAAAATATTACTTAAAGGTACTTCTTCATCTTTTCAGAGTTTCTGGAGAACTGCTTATCAAAAAAATTTGAAATTTTCAGAACAGGTAGATCTTGACCAGTAGAACAAAATTTGTCATAGACTCAAAGTTTTCAGATGCTGCCTGCTATGAGATATTGCGACCACGATAGACCCAATTTTTGTCCAAGATGCTATATTCGATAGAGCTGAAAATTTTTTTTACAGACACTAGACATTATTTGATGTGGGCATATTTCTATTTTTTGTCTTTTGAACAAAAAAAAGAATCAAAATATTGAAGGTACCCTTGCAAACGCATGTTCTTCTTAAATAGAGCTAAACTCATCCTAAACAATGTTTTGTATATGTGAAAAAAGTTTCACTTGGATTAGACGAACTAGATCCGAGAAAGGAGAGCGTTTTTGAACTTTTTTCATGAAAGAGTGCTTTTGACAAAAATATGAAACAATGTACGGCTTTACTAATTTGAGTTCTTTTATAAGTTTTTAACGTCTAAAGACTATTTTTAGATCTCAAAATGTACTGGATAGATAGATATTAATTCAGCTTATATAATGGCCATAAAAAAAAAAATAAAAGTATTGAGTCACGAAACAGGAGGGGATACTTTTAGTAATACTTAAATGTTAATTATACCTAAATAAGTTACAGCAACGATCGCTCCACAACCAAACACATGTGCTAAAGGTAAATAATTTAATAGTCGAGGAGTTCCTTCAATTTTCGT